CTCCACAAAACCTCCCGACCAGAGGCCCCGCCGCTGATTGCAGTTTACCGTCTCACCCAGGACGCGGATGTAGTTTATCGTCGGAAAAACAAGATAAATAAATTCGACCCCCCCCAAAAAAAAACAGAGTTCAAAGACAATTCATACTTCATGAAATTACCCTAGCACGACGACCGGATCAAATCTGTGCCATCTAATTATCAAGTAGCTTTGAAAATACTTCATAAAGCTATGCATCCTTTCGAAAGAAAAAGTAATTGACTACTGTTATTTTTCGCCAACAAGAGACCGAAGGGCTTATAGAAAGAATTGAACCCTGCTTTCAAAATATATTTGGATTGCTCACAGACCGGTCTTCAAATCTGATGAACAAGTAGATATAAACTCCAGACTTCAACCATATCAGATTACGTCTGATACTGAAGTATTACCATCTACACCCAATGCCTTTTTTATATCCTAATGTTAATGGAGAAACTTCTGTGAAAACTGATTCTAATGGATCTCCTGAAAATGGAACCTGCTTCTAGGTATCAGTTATTAGATACTGTCACTGAAAAGGAGAAACTGTCAACTAATTTCAAAGAATTATGGAATGAGGAATATCTCTTGAGTCTAAGAGAAAGTTGCAAGGATCTACATGAAATTAATTTTAATGATAAAATACAAGTAGACTATATAGTACTAATTAAATATCCTGCAAAATCCAGACCATTCTGAAAACTTAGCAGAGTGAGTGAACTTCTCCATGGAAATGATGGAAATGTACGTTTCGTAAACATAGCAAAAGGAGATGAATCTTATAAGAATCATAACATACAACATCTGTTTACAATCGAATTTTCCTTGGCACATAATGCACAATATAGTCCTGGGAAAGGCTTTAAACTACACCCGTACCTTATTGGTCACTTATGACCACTGAAGTCCAGGGTAAGTCCTTAAAGTACATCCATTTCTTAATGTTCATTTATAACCACTAATACACCACTCCAGTCCTGGGTAAGATTTCAAACTGTATCCATTTCTTTTGGTCACATTCTGACCACTTACTGGCCATCCTTATCCTGGCCAACTCGGTCCTAAGTATGACTAAATTGCAACCTTATACTGACCAATCTTATCTAGTTCAAACTTGTCCATGATCAAAACATCAAACTCTATCTATGGTAGTGATAATGATAATTACTAGTGAATAAAGATACAATTTTCAATTCAAAATCTTCATTATTTACATTATTCGGACTATTGTCCTCATCTTTGTCCCCATATTTATTACAACGTTTCGGCCTTTCAGTATCTGTCTATATTTCTAAAATGAATTATTATGTACACTATTTACATTATTCGGACTATTGCCCTCATCTTTGTCGCCATATTTATTACAACGTTTCGGCCTTTCAGTATCTGTTTATATTTCTGAGATGAGTTATTATGTACACTATTTACATTATTCGGACTATTGTCCTCATCTTTGTCGCCATATTTATTACAACGTTTCGGCCTTTCAGTATCTGTCTATATTTCTGTGATGAGGTATTATGTACACTATTCACATTATTCGGACTATTGTCCTCATCTTTGTCGCCATATTTATTACAACGTTTCGGCCTTTCAGTATCTGTCTATATTTCTGAGATGAGTTATTATGTAAACTATTCACGTTATTCGGACTATTGTCCTCATCTTTGTCGCCATATTTATTACAACGTTTCGGCCTTTCAGTATCTGTCTATATTTCTGAGATGAGGTATAATGTACACTGTTTACATTATTCGGACTATTGCCCTCATCTTTGTCGCCATGTTTATTACAACGTTTCGGCCTTTCAGTATCTGTCTATATTTCTGAGATGAGTTATTATGTACACTGTTTACATTATTCGGACTATTGCCCTCATCTTCGTCGCCATGTTTATTACAACGTTTCGGCCTTTCAGTATCTGTCTATATTTCTGAGATGAGGTATAATGTACACTGTTTACATTATTCGGACTATTGCCCTCATCGTTGTCGCCATGTTTATTACAACGTTTCGGCCTTTCAGTATCTGTCTATATTTCTGAGATGAGTTATTATGTACACTATTCACATTATTCGGACTATTGTCCTCATCTTTGTCGCCATATTTATAACAACGTTTCGGCCTTTCAGTATCTGTCTATATTTCTGTGATGAGGTATTATGTACACTATTTACATTATTCGGACTATAGACCTCATCTTTGTCGCCATATTTATTACAACGTTTCCGCCTTTCATTATCTGTCTATATTTCTGAGATGAGGTATAATGTACACTGTTTACATTATTCGGACTATTGCCCTCATCTTTGTCGCTATGTTTATTCCAACGTTTCGGCCTTTCAATATCTGTCTATATTTCTGTGATGAGGTATTATGTACACTATTCACATTATTCGGACTATTGTCCTCATCTTTGTCGCCATATTTATTACAACGTTTCGGCCTTTCAGTATCTGTCTATATTTCTGAGATGAGTTATTATGTATACTATTCACATTATTCGAAATATTGTCCTCATCTTTGTCGCCATATTTATTACAACGTTTCCGCCTTTCAGTATCTGTCTATATATCTGAGATGAGTTATTATGTACACTGTTTACATTATTCGGTCTATTGTCCTCATCTTTGTCGCCATATTTATTACAACGTTACGGCCTTTCAGTATCTGTCTATATTTCTGAGATGAGTTATTATGTACACTATTCACATTATTCGGACTATTGTCCTCATCTTTGTCGCCATATTTATTACAACGCTACGGCCTTTCAGTATCTATCTATATTTCTGAGATGAGTTAATATGTACACTATTCACATTATTCGGACTATTGTCCTCATCTTTGTCGCCATATTTATTACAACGTTTCGGCCTTTCAGTATCTGTCTATATTTCTGTGATGAGGTATTATGTACACTATTCACATTATTCGAACTATTGTTCTCATCTTTGTCGCCATATTTATTACAACGTTTCAGCCATTGTACGCTCCAGGTGGTTGGAATGTTGAACTTAACATCTTTATTTCGCTCACTTGTGTAGACTGTTCTAATTCCATGTGCCATGTTTAATGGATGTATGTGCCACGTCCTGAAGGACACATAGCACAGTGTATAAAAGCGTTGTTTAGATTCAATAACAGGACCCAAAGAGTGTGAGTTCAATACCCGGTTAGGGCAGTGGAGAACTTTCAGAGGGAAATTAATAGGAAATTGCTGATAACTGACACCCATTGAATCATTTATTTTTTTTATTTTGAAAACTCTTCCTATTTTTCATTACAATTTTCAGTACGTTATAATATTTTTCAGTTTCTATTAATTTTAACTCAAAGTACAATGTTTGAAGTACCTGCATTTAAAATATTTCAAATAAAGATTTATTTTTAATATTTTTTGTTTGTTGATATTTTCAAAATCGGGTATGATATACCCATGGTTAGTAGTGATGTAAATTTAACTGATGGTTACTGTTCTAGGGTTAATAAAATATTTGATTATATGTTTATATACAAAATATTGTATAGAAAAAAGAACTGACTTTATGGTCATATATAAAATATTGTATTTGATGTTATGAACTAGCAACATGCAATGGAACGCTGAATTGCATGTTTTTCCGTATGTTGGGAGAGTATAAAAAATAGGTTATCTCTCCTTGGTTGGTAAGACCCGCTGATAGAGAGATGGGTTCATTTATTTGATGATAATGAGTAAGACACAAATTTAAGCGCCAAATAGGCGATAGAGCTTTACAGGCTTCAAGACGAGTGAACTGAACGGACGTGATTTTAGCCTACTCCATGAACAGGTGATGCTGGCCACGAGGAAAACTGAATAATGCATGGACATGCAGTATTCAGATGGTGGATATGAGCAGCATCAGATAAATTTTTCAATAAATTTCAAACATGTATTTGGATCTCGTCCTCGATATCATTACTTTAACTGCTAATGTTTTAACAATCCTCTTTTCTTATTCTCCTTGTATAATGTATTTCTTATATAAAGTATGCTTTTAAATTGTTCAATTGCCTCGTCTTTGTTCATCTGCCATGAATTTAGGGAGTCTCCAAATTTTCAACAGAGACCAAATCAACCATTACATCTGGCCACCTATCTACCTAAAATTCAATCCCCCCCTCCCCACCTTGATTATGATGTCTGGGCTGCAGCTGAGCCAGAGACCAATAAAACACATCAAAGATGAATTGAAGACAAGGATTGTGGTAGCATTCACCGACTTAAACATGAAGACCTCCCGGATGAGTTGCTGGAGATTCCGAAGGCCGTGGTTGAAACGAATGCAGATTTTATTGAATACATTTAACTCTTTAGTGTTTCAAGATATTTTGGTGCAATTTTGGTAAATATATCTGTTAAAATGAGATGCCAGTGTTATTTTCACTTTTGCGTCATTTAGACAACAATTTATCCATCGCACTCGGTGTGTGTGTGTGTGTGTGTGTGTGTGTGTGTGTGTGTGTGTGTGTGTGTGTGTGTACATGGGTTTGTGTAAACCGTAGCATAGTGTGATACAAGATAACGATTTTAGAGCACTCCTGTGATAAGCAAAAACATTCTAGTCACGAAACTGGTTTTCTAACACTGCTATACACAGAGGTATGCACGTAAACCACTATATATATATATATATATATATATATATATATATATATATATATATATCTGTGTGTGTGTATGCGCGTGTGTGTGTGTGCGTACGCGCGCGCACTCGTGAATTCCTGTGTCTCGAAATATATGCAAAAAATGTTGGCCAACGATTGGTCAGTTGTCGGGACGTGTTGAAAATGGGACATTCTGTGCGGCCGCATATAAAATCAGTGACATCACAGCAAGTCTCCGCCCACTTCTCATGTCAATCAATCATGTTGTTGTTGTTGTTGTTGCTGTTGCCTTTGCTCGTGCTGTTGCTGGGGCGTTGCACATGTGCATTTCCATGTGCAGCTACAGCAATTTAAGCATCCGAAAGAGACTGCACAGTAAGCAGTAGATAGGCAAACAGTAAAAACGCAGAAAATAGCGCTGGGAATGAAAGAGGCCAACGCGTAGTAATTTCTGAGGGAAAATGAGGTATGCAAATGGGTCGCTTCTTGAGAAAGAGGACAAAATAGACGACTGAGAGAGAGAGAGAGAGAGAGAGAGAGAGAGAGAGAATGAGGGAAAGGGAAATAATGATGGCAGGGGAAAGAGAAAAGAAAGCAAAGGCGACATGAGTGAGGGGGAAAGAGAGAGAGGAAAGAGGAAGAAAAGAATGAACTGAAGAAGATGAAGAATATAAAAAGCAGGTAGTTTCTAAATGGCAATGACGAAAAAAATATATATATATGTGTGTGTGTCTGTGTGTGTGAGTGTGTGCGTGTGTGTGTGGGAGTGTGTGCGTGTGTGTGTGGATAGAGAAAGAAGAAGAAGTGTTAGAAAGAGAAAGAGAGAGAGAGAGAGAGAACACGCAATGACGTTTTCAAGAACTGCGTATTTTTCAAAGATTGACATTTGAACCCAGGTAAAAATTACAAATAGTGCTTGTCTGTGCCAAAGTTATTGCACATCTATCTTTCTCTCTCCCTCCCTCCCTCACTCTCCCCCTCTCTCCTCTCTCTCTCTCTCTCTATATATATATATATATATATATATATATATATAATCATTTATTCAAAATTTATAAAATAATAATGTTATAAAATCACTACAAAAATAGCCATTTTGTTTCAACACTTCTGGTGTCTTATCAAGTGATGCTGTTGAATATAGAATAAAGGGTTTAAAAAATTCAAATCAATTAAACACCCCCCGGTAAGGGGAAACGCTGTTACATAAGCTGCAATGACCAATCAAAAGTATATGAGAATTCAAAAAACTTGACAACGATCTTTGGTTATAATAATTATTTAATGCTTTAATGTTAGGGTTAGACTAAAATAGAATTTATTCTAATAAATATTAAATTATACGATAAAATTTGAAATTAAAAATTACCCATTTTAAAATTTAAATTTAAACTATATTAAGTTTAAAATTATAAAATTACTGAGGAAAAAAGAAAAAATACATATTCTATTTATTTTGTTTTTATTGAAATTAACTTCGAATAAACGTTAAGATCAAATGTTGCTCCGAACTTCCTGACAACCATAGATACATTTGAACCATAAACAGAGGCAGGGGAGGATGACATATACATACATACATACATACATACATATATATATATATATATATATATATATATTTAATATCAAAGTCTACGCGTAATAAAACAGGTCGACAAATAAATTCTTGAAGATTAGTTGGCTTCAAGGCATGTGTTTTTTGTTTTTAGAAAATGAAGTGATCTGCGTTGATAACAAAACAAATATAAAACAGTTAAATATATATCAATAGATAATAGATGAATAAAATATTCAACCTTTTATCCTCGGATGTGAAGTTTTACGAACACAGATCCGATTGTAGCGGTAAGATTGGTAACAATTGACAGAGAGAGACAGACAGATAAAGAGAGACTAGAGTGAGTAAAAACAGAGTAGAAAGAGAGAGGAAGAAGAAGAAGGGAGATAGATAGATAGATAGATAGATAGATAGATAGATAGATAAAGAGAGAAGAAAGTGGGAGGTAGAGAGAGATAAAGAAAGACAGAAATACGTATAGAAAAAAGAGAGAATAAGAGAGAGAGAGAGATAAATTGAGAAGATAGTGATATATATAGAGAGAGAGGTAGAGAGAAAGTGATATAAAAACAAAAAAGGGAGAGATGGACAGAGAGAGAGAGAGAGATAAACAAAAACAAAAAAGGCAGATATATAGAGAGAGAGACTAGTCGTTCTTTCGTCACCAATTTGTATGCAACAGGGTGAAACCTGATGTAAAGACAGATGTAAAGAAAATTCCAGTTGGATTTCTTAGATTCAACTTCCAGATATTTTTTTCTCTCTGTAGACGTCAGTCTTGACAAAATCAAGGTTAATATATGACAAGAAAATTGTCATTAAAAACAACCCAAAATCGCTATAAAAATCCCCAAAAAGTATATTTAAAAATAGAAAATTAATTTTCAAACATAATTTGTAAGAGATTGTACGCTTTTTATTGTACTGAAAATCTATATTGAAATTTCTAGAAAGTCGGTAATACCAGAATAAATCAAGTACAAACATTTATAGCGAAAGATGCCTTCCAAAAGCTAAGCGAAGTATTAAGAAACGGGGAAATTTAAATATCTGGGATGTGATTTAAAAAAGGACGGAAAATGTGACACTGAAATCTGAAGGTGCATTGTGATAGCGAAAGATGCCTTCCAAAAGCTAAGCAAAGTATTAAGAAACAGGGAAATTTAAATATCTGGGAAGTGTTTTAACAAAGGACGGAAAGTGTGACACTGAAATCCGAAGGCACATTAGGATAGCGAAAGATGCCTTCCAAAAGCTAAGCAAAGTATTAAGAAACAGGGAAATTTAAATATCTGGGAAGTGTTTTAACAAAGGACGGAAAGTGTGACACTGAAATCCGAAGGCACATTAGGATAGCGAAAGATGCCTTCCAAAAGCTAAGCAAAGTATTAAGAAACAGGCAAATTTAAATATCTGGGATGTGATTTAAAAAAGGACGGAAAATGTGACACTGAAATCTGAAGGCGCATTGTGATAGCGAAAGATGCCTTCCAAAAGCTAAGCAAAGTATTAAGAAACAGGGAAATTTAAATATCTGGGAAGTGTTTTAACAAAGGACGGAAAGTGTGACACTGAAATCCGAAGGCGCATTGGGATAGCGAATGATGCCTTCCAAAAGCTAAGCAAAGTATTAAGAAACAGGGAAATTTAAATATCTGGGAAGTGTTTTAACAAAGGACGGAAAGTGTGACACTGAAATCCGAAGGCGCATTGGGATAGCGAAAGATGCCTTCCAAAAGCTAAGCAAAGTATTAAGAAACAGGGAAATTTAAATATCTGGGAAGTGTTTTAACAAAGAACGGAAAGTGTGACATTGAAATCCGAAGGCGCATTGGGATAGCGAAAGATGCCTTCCAAAAGCTAAGAAAAGTATTAAGAAACAGGCAAATTTAAATATCTCGGAAGTGATTTAAAAAAGGACGGAAAGTGTGACACTGAAATCCGAAGGCGCATCGGGATAGCGAAAGATTCCTTCCAAAAGCTAAGCAAAGTATTAAGAAACAGGCAAATTTAAATATCTCGGAAGTGTTTTAACAAAGGACGGAAAGTGTGACACTGAAATCCGAAGGCGCATTGGGATAGCGAAAGATTCCTTCCAAAAGCTAAGCAAAGTATTAAGAAACAGGGAAATTCAAATATCTGGGGAGTGTCTTAACAAAGGACGGAAAGTGTGTCACTGAAATCCGAAGGCGCATTAGGATAGCGAAAGATGCCTTCCAAAAGCTAAGCAAAGTATTAAGAAACAGGCAAATTTAAATATCTGGGAAGTGTTTTAACAAAGAACGGAAAGTGTGACACTGAAATCCGAAGGCGCATTGGGCTACCGTAAGCTACCTTCCAAAAGCTAAGCAAAGTATTAAGAAACAGGCAAATTTAAATATCTCGGAAGTGATTTAAAAAAGGACGGAAAGTGTGACACTGAAATCCGAAGGCACATTGGGATAGCGAAAGATTCCTTCCAAAAGCTAAGCAAAGTATTAAGAAACAGGCAAATTTAAATATCTCGGAAGTGTTTTAACAAAGAACGGAAAGTGTGTCACTGAAATCGAAAGGCGCATTGGGCTACCGTAAGCTACCTTCCAAAACTAAGCAAAGTATTAAGAAACAGGGAAATTTAAATATCTGGCAAGTGTTTTAACAAAGAACGGAAAGTGTGTCACTGAAATCGAAAGGCGCATTGGGCTACCGTAAGATGCCTTCCAAAAGCTAAGCAAAGTATTAAGAAACAGGGAAATTCAAATATCTAGGAAATGATTTAACAAAGACGGAAAGTGTGACACTGAAATCCAAAGGGGCATTGGGATAGCGAAAGATGTCTTCCAAAAGCTAAGCAAAGTATTAAGAAACAGGGAAATTTAAGTATCTGGGAAGTGTTTTAACTAAGGACGGAAAGTGTGACACTGAAATCCGAAAGCACATTGGGATAGCGAAAGATGCCTTCCAAAAGCTAAGAAAAGTATTAAGAAACAGAGAAATTTAAGTATCTCGGAAGTGTTTTAACAAAGGACAGAAAGTGTGACACTGAAATCCGAAGGTGCATTTGGAAAGCGAAAGATGCCTTCCAAAATCTAAGCAAAGTATTAAAAAAACAGGCAAATTTAAATATCTGGGAAATGTTTTAACAAAGGACGGAAAGTGTGACACTGAAATCCGAAGGTGCATTGGGATAGCGAAAGATGCCTTCCAATAGCTAAGCAAAGTATTAAGAAACAGGGAAATTTTAATATCTGGGAAGTGTTTTAACAACGGACAGAAAGTGTGTCACTGAAATCGAAAGGCGCATTGGGCTACCGTACGATATCCTCCAAATGCTAAGCAACGTATTAAGAAACAGGCAAATGTAAATATCTGGGAAGTGTTTTAACAAAGAACGGAAAGTGTGACACTGAAATCCGAAGGCGCATTGGGATAGCGAAAGATGCCTTCCAAAACTAAGCAAAGTTTTAAGAAACAGGCAAATTCAAATATCTGGGAAGTGTTTTAACAAAGGACGGAAAGTGTGACACTGAAATCCGAAGGCGCATTGGGATAGCGAAAGATGCCTTCCAGAAGCTACTCAAGAAACAAGAAAATGTCGTTATAAACAAAGAAAATAGTACTTAGCTGTGATGTTATATCGCTTTTCGTATATAACAGTGAATGTTGGACCATCTCCACATCGATGAAGAAGAGTCTTTAGACAACTGATATGTGATTCTACAAAAGGATGCGAACATGGAGTGAATATGTGAGCAATGACGAAGTTTTAGAGAAAATGGAAACAGAATCGACACTAATACTTATCATCAGTAAGAAGCAGTTGTAGTTTCTGGGTCACGTAATGAGGATTGAGGTCTTAGGAAATTTGATACTCACAGGGCAGTTTGAGGGAAAGAGAGAGAGGGGAAAGCAGCACATAATCTATCTGATGAGGTTGTGTAAATGGTTGACAGAACAGGCTGAGTTAGCAAAAGACAAAAAAAAGAAAGGAAATGGCAAAAGCAAATTACTAAGAGCTATGGGGACAAGAGTTTAGAACGTTCGCATTCTGATCATGAGACCCGGGTTCGAATTTCACTATGGTCAGGAAATAGACTTCCTGATGTTATCGGACTGGAGGGGTGCGGCACGTTTGGAAAGTGCCTGTAAACTTTACCACGGGTTGACGCAAGCCTTGTGAGTGGAATTGAGCAGGTGGAATGTCACAAGTCATCGTAGGCTTGAGCGTTCAAATTGTTGATCACGCTAGATAACATGCTCTTTCTTAGAAACTGTAACTAAGGTCTGCTCAGCATAGTTGCAGTATAAACCACAGGCGGGCTTTGTGGATGTTAAACACAAATGTACGGGTATCCTCGAATACACATTAAGAGCTATACATATGATATACATATGTATTAAGAGCTTCAGTGGACAAGAAATTCTTGATAGACATGATCGTTGAGAAAGTAATAATGTTTTTAACTCCGATGTCGTATTCATGATTAATGGACCCTATAACTAATCTTTGCTTTCTACGTAAGTCGGACATGGACTCCACTTTCACTCGGTGCAGTTTACCACATTCACCAATCAATCAATCTTCCATTTACCATAATACCACATACACTCAGGGGGCTTACAAAAACGCTCGCCATGACATGAAAATTTGAAAATTCCATGATCTTTTTTCAAAAAACTTACAAATGATGAGGGAGCTGAGATGATCCCCAAAGTATAAAACAAACAAAAGTAACAAAACTGACGTCAGTTTGACCCCCGCACCCACTTCAATAAAGAGAGGCCGCTGTATTCTGCATATTAGACAAAATCAAGGGGCTCTTTAGCTAAGGGAGAGGGAAGAAAGGATAAAATAAATACGGCCATGGAGAAAGTGGATAAAAAAAGGTTCATCCGGTCGAGATGAAAAGGGTGGGGGCAAAAACAAACTGGGGTGGCTAGGAATCTCGTCATGGATCATAACAAAAGATGCAGCCGGGAACAAGTCGGGAACAGGCCGAGAACATGCCAGGAACAAGCCGGGAACAGGCCGGGAACAAGCTGGGAACAAGCCAGGAACAAGCCAGGAACAGGCCGGGAAAAAGCCGGGAACAATCGGGAACAGGCCGGGAACAAGCCGGGAACAGGCCGGGAACAGGCCGGCAACAAGCCGGGAACAGGCCGGGAACAGGCCGGGAACAGGCCAGGAACAGGCCAGGAACAGGCCGGGAACAAGCCAGGAACAGGCTGGGAACAAGACGGGAACAGCTCGGGAACAAGCCAGGAACAGCCCAGGAACAAGCCGGGAACAGGCCGGGAATGAGCCGGGAACAAGCCGGGAACAGGGCGGCAACAAGCCGGGAACAGGCCGGGAACAGGCCGGGAACAAGCCGGGAACAGGCCGGGAAAAAGCCGGGAACAAGTCGGGAACAAGCCGGGAACAAACCGGGAACAGCACTTAGTCACATTAACTAGGTACACAAAAAGTGGTCTAACCCTAACCATGGGAGGGCTCCACAGGAAACCGCCCCCGATTTGACGTAAGTGGACTTAAAAAGGAAAACCAAGGCATGCCCATTCACACGAACCAAGCTCGCTTCAGTCACCCATCTTTCGATAAACACTGTCGAGACTAACCTTTTACTATCAGTTCTAATCTTCATCGAACTGACTCTAGGTACTTTGAACAGGTATATTTAAACGTCATATTGCAATATGAGCATATCACCATTTTTGCTATTAATGACGTTACACGATAGGGGACCATACTTGTTAATCAGCCTTTGTATTTATTTTAGGAATAACAATTACAGAATCCATTATATATATTATATTATTGATTTCTTTCTTCAGTCTTATCGAAAGAAGAGAGAAGAGATAAGGTGGGCCATAATGATCAAAATGACAGTAGTAGCAGCAATCTTATATCTGGCAGTTATTCACAATTATAACTGAATGTAACACGGATTTAAACTTGTTGGCGTTTTCATATACGGATTTGAGAAATCTGTGATTTCTACAGTTCATAAAAAATCGACAGTGATTTTGTTTTAAATATTAAATGCCAATGAAAAAAGGATCTTTAAATTATTTTCGGCGTTTTCTTTCCTAAATTCAGTATCAACTAAAAAATTTGGAAGGAATTCCAGGGATAATATAAACAAATTTTTCGTATAGTCTGGCACAAGGTTAAAAACATAGCGCAGAAAATGAGGACTGAACTCACTCCAGTAATAAATACTACCTAGTTTTCTAATCATTCTTGCACAGCCAAGTACTATTAATTACAATACTTAACTTACATTTTCACGAATTTACTAGGGGAGTGAACCCAGCGATGATGAAACTCAACACAGTTGTAAGGCTCTGTTACGTTTATGTACTAATAACTACTCCACAGCTAAGCAAACCTAATATTTTCTTTTTAAATAATTTCGCCCTTAACAACCAGTATGCTTTTGGCCCCTTTTTTTTCATCTCAAATGGGTCAGTTGTTTTCCTTCCCTATGACTGTATTTGTTTTATCTTTTCCTTTCCCTTAGCGAGAGAGATTTCGTCTCAAGGCAAAATGCAACAGCCTCTCTTAAATCTTGTTAGGATTTGACGGTTTTTATATATAGATTTTTATGCTCATTAAATTTTTATGTCATGGGGATATGTTTTTGTAGGATCCCTGAGAGTATGCGGTATTATGGTATATGGAAGATTGGATAATGATGGCCGAGTTCTTATGGTGGACATGCAAATTGTAATGAGTGAATGGGTCGTGAATCGGATTAGGTATAAGACAGTAAGTGATGACCAGCATCAACCCTTTCCCCCTTTTGGGCCTTGTACTAAAATTGTTGTTTATTTACGATAAATCTCAACAAGGCAATAAAGCCACTAAGACGCAAGAGGGCGTTATTGTGTGAGATAATATGAGAAAAAGAAAACATTAAGAAAAGTGAGCAATAAAAAACAGTAATAAAACAGATTATTATGAGGATTACTAAGGAGAGAGAACAATAACAGAAGAGGAATTAAGAAAATACTACATAACGACTGACACTGCGTTTAATGTTTTGAAGATCAAAGTTGACTGGAAAGCAAGAAGCCGGAAGAGAGTTCCACAAGCGAGAAGTGCGAGAGAAGGAACTGTTAGCATAGAACTTACGGTTACATCTAGCCATTTCAGCTGTAAGATAATGAAACATTGCCGCCAAGTGAGTCAGTCAGTTATATACCATACGTGATACATGCGTAAGCGATCATGTATCTTTCGATACATGACTGAAGAGGTAGATTTTTTTCTCGCATTTCTTTCTACGGTAGACCAGTTACCATAGAATCTGGTCTGTCCTGCTATTTACCCATAAGAGGGGGGAGGGAGAAGAAGAGGATTCATACCTTTCCCAAGGGTATTAGCACTTAAGTGAATGTAATGGATTCGACAATCAAACAAACCAGCAACATTTTAAAGTTATCGAGGACTATTACGAAAATGGACGTTCAAACAGAAATGCATTTCGCGATTTTTTTGGTCAACATAATCGACCAACCAAGAGTGCAATTTAAAACGCTGTAACGTTTTTGTGGAGTGGTTCAACTCCTGCGCGTCATGACGAATAGAGGGGTCTGGATTTTCGGCCACATTC